AGTTCAAGGCCAGCCTGGTCTACCTAGTGAGTTCCAGGACAGCTGGGGCTACAGGGAGACCCTGTCTCAAAAAGACCAAAGAAAAAAAGAAAGAAAGAAAGAAAGAAAGAAAGAAAGAAAGAAAGAAAGAAAGAAAGAAAAAGAATCAACAGGGAGAGCTTCTGTAGGGAGATGTGTTCAAGAAAACTGGAAACACTTGACAGTTTAGGGCACTGGATGAAAAGAAAAGAAAAGAAAAGAAAAGAAAAGAAAAGAAAAGAAAAGAAAATGATAGGTGTTTGGATAGATAGATGAAAGGGATCTGACCACAAGTGGATGGACTTGCACTGGGGAATGTCTGGGGACACAGACTTGACACAGTGGGCCTTTAACACCCAGGACAGAGTATATGGGTTCAAGTGGGGGGGGCTATGGGAAGGTGCTGTTGGGGACCAGGCTATAAAGATGATTCAGATTGTGTCAAGTCTGTGTGCCCAGACATTCCTCAGTGCAAGTCCATCTACTTGTGGTCTAGTCAGAGTCCTTTCGTCTATCCAAACACCTATCACTTTCTTTCTTTTTTTTTTTTTTTTTTTTTTGGTTTTTTTGAAACAGGGTCCAAAACAATCAAATCAATTTTGTACAGAGATAGTCTGTACAAAATACAACAAAATTTAATAAAAACAAATAAAAAAAAACAAGCAAAAAACACTTTTCCTCCTTATTAGCTTTTTAAAGACCGTTTCATGGGCTGGAGGGTAGATCAGACAGTAAAGTGACTGCTTACCTGAGTTCAATCCCCTGAATCCACATTAAAGAAAGAAAACTCAGGGGGCTGGAGAGATGGTTAAGAGCACTGACTGCTCTTGCAGAGGACCTGGGTTCAATTCCCAGCACCCACATGGCAGCTATGAACCGTCCTTAACTCCAGTTCCAGGGGAATCCGAAGCCCTCTTCTGATCTCCACAGCACTGCATGACATGGGTGCACTCATATACATGCAGCAATACACTCATACACATAAAATAAAAGAAATAATAAAATATATACATAAAAAAAGAAAAGTCAGATGTAGTTGTGTACATTTGTAATTCCAGCATTCCTATGGCAAGATGGGAGGCACAGATGGAGACAGGAGAATCACCTGGAGCTCAGGGCCCCGCAAGTTGGAGTACACGGCATAGCAGCAGAAACAGGTAGGGAAATAGTGTGTTAGTGAGACAAAGGGCAAGAACTGACTCCACAAAACTGTCTCCTGACCTCTACACATGGGCTGTGGCAGTAAGCATGGTATTTAGATCCTGAGGAATGACAGTTCAGGTTGTCCACTGGCCTACATGCACATATCTAACACACACACACACACACACAGTTTATTTAGATTTTATGTGTATACTATTGACTAAATATTGCTAAAATATGCTTGAGTATGAGTAGGCCTTATAAATCATAAATTCTCAAGTTTCTATTATAAAATTTTATCTTGAATTCCTCAATTTTTTTTAAAGTTAAGAGAGAGAGGAATAAAAACCTCTTTTTTGTCTACTTTTTGTCTCATTTTAACCAAGGAGTCAGTGTTGGACCCTATTAAGAACAAAAAAATGCATCACCAGGCATGATGGCTCATGTCTATAATCCTAGCACTGAAGAGGCAGAGGCAGGAGTATCCCTAGTTGGAGGCCAGCCTGGGCTTCATAACCCAACCCTACCTCAAAGAGAAAAAAGAGTCCAACACAAATACTACAATTTCTACTAGAGCTGTAGAGCACCACCTACAGACGAGACAAAAGAACAGCAAAGTTCATTGGTCATGTGTGGAATAAATATTTAGTAAATTTTTTTATCTGTAGTAGCATTTTCCCAAAGCCTACAATAAGAAACACTAAACCCTAGAAATGTTGATGAAGAGTATATTTTAAGAATATTTTAAATTAGCTGGGCGTGGTGGTGTATGCCTTTAATCCCAGGAGGCAGAGGCAGGCGGATCTCTGTGAGATGGAGGCCAGCCTGCTCTACATAGTAAGTTCCAGGCCAGCTGGGGCTGCAGGGAAGCCCTGTCTCAAAAAAGCCAAAAAAAAAAAAAAAAAAAAAAAAAAAAAAAAAAAGGAAGGACAACCAAGGAACTGCTCTAGAATAATGAGCTCAAGGAAAAAAGAGAATATTTTAAAATTAAAAGTGATTATCTTTTTTTTTAAAGATTTATTAGTGTTTTCCCTACATGTATATTATGTTTGGGTAGCAGGGAGACCAGATGAGGGTGCCAGAGCTGCCAGTGGATCCTGTGAACCAAACTCCTGTCCTCTACAAGAGCAGTAAGGGCTTTTAACCTCTAAGTCACTTCTCCAGCCCCAAAAAGTGGTATCTTACTGAAGAAAAAGTTGAGCTAAAGTAGAACAGGCCCCCTTATTACGTGACTTCTTAGAATAATAACAGTCAAAATTCATTAAGTACTGCCTGAGCCAACTTCTGTACTACAAGCTCTTATATACATTATCTCATCTAGTTCCTACAATCTTGTGAAATGGACAGTAGTTATTCTCCCACTTGCAGGTGAGAAATGGGGCTTAGAAAAACTGTAGGCTAAATTCCAGACACATAAATTATAGTCTGCCCAAAGCTGTCAACATTAAAATGCTGTAAGATTTTATATTAAAATCTCTATTTTCAGGGGATACGGATGTAGCTTGGTTATAAAGTGCTTGCCTAGCATGCACAACACCCTGAGTTTGATCCCTTCATAAACTGGGCATGGTGGGGCACACTTGTAATGTTAGTATTTAGCATGCAGAAGGATGAGGATAAGGAATTCAAGATCTCCTGGACTATAAAGTTCAAGGCAAGCTGGTTTACAAGAGACCCTGTCTCTAAATAAGTAAAATCTATATATTCAGGTTCTGTTGAAACCATTTTAAAAATTGGAAATTTTGATAGTAATAGTCAAAGGATAATCCTTTTCATTATTATTTTTGTTGTTGTTGTTGTTTTGAGACAGGATCTCCATGCAGCCCCAGCTGGCCTGGAACTTGCTATATAGACCAGGCTGGCCTCTAACTCACAGAGATCTGCCTGTCTCTGCCTCCCGAGTACTGAGATTAAAGGCATATGGCTGGCATTTCATTAATTTTTTTGTGTGGATGTATGTTTACATGTTTGTATATATGTATGCATGTGTGTGGATGGCAGAGGTTGAGATCGGATGTGTTCTCAATGGCTTTCCATCTTAGTTTTTGAAACAGAGCCTCTCACTAAACCTGGAGCTCACTCATTTGACTAGACTTAGCTGGTCAACAAGCACCAGAGATACTGGTCTCTGGTCTCCATGTCCCAGAGCTGGGATAACAGGTACACCACCAAGCCCAGATTTTTACATGAGTGCTGGACATCTAATCTGGATGTTCATTCTTCTATGACAAGAGTACTTTACTGCCTGTGGCATCTTCCTAGACTCTACTTTTTTAAATAGTAAGGCAGGCCCTTCGGGCACTGTGTTCCTAATCCATCCCAATTGTTCCCTGACTACAGTATACAGGTCTTTTTGTAAAGACAAAATTATTACATTTATTTTTTTAAAGAATATTTTTATTTATTAGTTTTATGTGTATGAGTGTATTGCCTATATGTAGGTAGGTGCGCTTATGCCATGTAGTGCCCGCAAAGGTCAGAAGAGGGTGTCAGATCCCCTGAAACGGGAGTTATGGACCATTGTTAGCCACCATGTGGGTGCTGGGAATCAAACCTGGGTCCTCTGGAAGAGTAGTCAGTGCTTTTAACCGCTGAGCCATCTCTCCACTCTCCAATCCCTAAATTATTTGTTTATTTATTATTTTGTGTGTGTGTCTATATATGTGGATGTTCGTGTGTGTGTGTGTGTGTGTGTGTGTGTGTGTGTGTGTGTATGTTCATGCCATGGCACAGGTGTGGAGGTCAGAGGACAATTTGCAAGAATTTATTCTCTCTTTCCACCCTGTGGGTCCCAGGGATTGAACTCAGGTTGTCAGGCATGGCAGCAGGAACCTTTACCTGCTGAATCATCTCACCAGTTCAGTATACAAGTTCTAATACATAATAAATGTAGTTAAGCATGGAGGCTTACTCCATAACTCCTGCATTTAGGAGGTAGAGGCAGGAGGACTATCTTGGGTTCAACACCAGCCTGGACTACACAGTGAGACTGTTTCAAAAAGAGACCCTAAATGTTCTTGTGTCAAGGGATAGACCCAAGAACCCAATGTTTTCCAATAACATTTAGAAAACACAGATAGGACTCGTAGACCTCTTTTTACTTTGGTCTTTTTGAGGCAGGGTCTCCCTGTAGCCCCAGCTGTCCTGGAACTCACTATGTAGACCAGTCTGGCCTTGAACTCACAGAGATCTGCCTGCCTCTGCCTCCCAAATGCTGGGATTAAAGGTGTGCACCACCACGCCTGGCAAGACTCGTAGACCTTTTTTAAAGAAGATAAATAAGGGGCTGAAGAGATGGTTCAGCAGTTAAGAGTACTGGCTACCCTTACAGAGAACCTGGGCTCAGATCCCAGCACTCACATGGTGGCTAGCAAGTCCATAATTCCAGTTCCAGGGGCTCTAACACCGTCTTCTGACCACTGCAGACATTGTGCAATGTGGGTACACTTACAAACATGCAGGCAATACACTCATACACATAAAATAAATAAAAATAATAATAAAGTTTTTTTTTAAAAAGACAATAATAAGAGCACATGAAGGAGAGGGCAGTAAGGTGGAGGTAGAGAGGGAGAGGGGATCTGAAAATGATCAAAATACATTGTGTGAAATTCTCAAATCAATAAGAATATTTTTTAAAGACCCCAATATGTAATAAATATTATCATTCTCTAAAAGTAGAGAGGGAATGTGGTATTCCCCAAACTTGTTTCACTAGGTAACTCTTTTTCCAACTATTGAATGCATTTTAGAAATGCTGAAAAACATAACTTTGTGAATACACAAAGGATCTTTAGAGGAGAATCAAAACAGAAATGAAGAAAATGAAAAATACTTACAAATATTAGTCCAGATATCAAAGAAGACGTCCCGGTGAGCGCCACATAGAACTTGGGTGTCAGTGAACTTAAAAACCCTGTTACTGTTAAAGAAGAAAACCAAAGCTTTAAAAAGTACACATTTAAAGTACATTATAATTATGCAGAAATCTTTAAATGGAGGGTGGTAAATAGTACACATGCTTGACTGTTGGTAAGGTCAAGTCCAGATAAGTCCATAAATTGAAAATATTGCAAGTAAAACATACAGGTTATGCCTCTAATCTTCAAATCTCATAGCTTAGCAACATAATACCTGGTACAGTATTGATTGTTTACTATCCACATTGTGTTTCTGGATGGAGAGTGGGGCAAAGCAGCCTGCTGATCATACTGCTAATGCACAAAAAGATCAAAATTCAAAATTTCTACTGAATGTATATGGCTTTTTAATTTTTGTGCAAGTTGAAAAATTCTAAGCTGAACATGCTCAGTCAGGAGCAGTCTATATTAACATCTAGTATAAAGTGCATTCCAAAAAGCTGTTAAAAGTTCTAAGTCTTTGAAAAGCTACTTTAAATTCCCATTATTTCATTCCTTAAAAATCTACTCACATATGTAAAAATATTATTCTACACTTTTAAACAATTAAATGAGAAGCAAATCAAAGTGAAACTTAAAATGTGTAAAGCCTCAGGATCAATCTGTAGCACCAAAAAGGAAGGAAGGAAGGAAGGAAGGAAGGAAGGAAGGAAGGAAGGAAGGGAGGGAGGGAAGAAAGGAAGGAAGGAGGAAAGGAAGGAGGGAAGGGGGAAGGAAGGGAGGGAGGGAGGAAGGAAGGAAGGAAGGAAGGAAGAGAAGGGGGAGGGAGGAAGGAAGGAAGGAAGGAAGGAAGGAAGGAAGGAGGGAAGCGGGGAGGGAGGGAGGGAAGGGAGGAAGGAAGGAAGGAAGAAGGGAAGGAGGGAAGGAAGAACAAAAGTTAAAATGAAATCATTTGGCTTACTTTTGAGCATAAAACAAAAGAACAAGCCATAATTTAGATTAGAACTTTAGCAAATCAATAAGGAAAGAAGCTAAACAAACTATACCATTTTCTGCCCGTGGAGGCAAGGCCTCACTATTTAGCTTTGGCTGGCCTGGAATTCACTATGTAGACTAAATTGGACTCAGACTCACAGAAATTTTCCTGCCTTTGCCTCTGCCTCCCAAGTGCTAGGATTAAAAGGCTGCACTACAGCAATCAGCCTTGTTTTATGGTTTTTTGGAGATAGGGTCTCACTGTGTAGCCTTGGCAGGCCTTGAACTCTATATGTAGGCAAGGCTGGCCTTGAACTCTGAGAGATCTACCTGCCTCTGCCTTTTGAATACTGGGATTAAAGGCATGTACTACCATGCCTGACTCATTTTATGTTTTTTGAGTCTAGGTTTCTTGTAGTCCAGGCTGTTCTCAAACTCACTATGTAGCTGAGGATGACCTTGAACAACTGATATTCCTGTATGCACATCCTAAGCGCTGGAATCACAGGGATGCATCACCATGCCTGGTTTATGGATGCTGGGGATTGAACCCAGTGGTTCCTGCATGCTAGGTAAGCACTATACCTATTGAGCTACATCCCCAAACTCAATATTTTGAGGTTTAAAAGAAATAAAAATCTGTAATAGTTAACTCTATGTGGTCAACACAGAGACAATACACCGATATACTAGTTGGCTTGGTAGCACAGCCTGCAACCCTAGCATTCTGGAAGCGGAGGCAGGACGGTCTCCAGTTTGAGGACAGCCTGGACTACATAGTGAGACTATGTCTCAGAAAAAAAAAAGGTTTGGTAGCATACACCTCTAATTCCACCACTTGAGAGGTGGTGGCCAAAGGATCAAGAATTCAAGGCCAATCCCAGCTACATATTGAGTTTGCTGCCTGCCTGGGCTTCATGAGACCCTGCCTCAAGACAATAAGAATAGGAAAATAAATGACAAACCCAGTGAATATTTCACTGAGCATCTAAACTAACATGAAGCAGTTCAGCCACCTGTTACAAATTAGGTGCACAGTACCTAGCTTGTAAAAATTCCACAACATTTTAGAACATCATCCCAGTCTTTCATGTTATCTCATGGAATAGAAAAGGGGACTACTAATGGGGCTGGAAAGATGGCTCAGCAGTTAAGAGCACTGGCTGCTCTTGCAGAGGATCTGGATTCAATTCCCAGCACCTACATGGTGGCTAACAACCATCCTTAACTCCAGTTCCAGGGGAATTCAACATCCTTTTCTGACCATACCCTCTTCTGACCTCCACAGGCATTGTACTACCTGGGTCCACTTAACATACTGGCAGGCAATACACTCATACACATAAAATTAAAAAATAATTTTTTAAAAAGAAAGACAAAGGGACTACTACCTTCTCTTACTAGAGAAAAATAGTAATATAGAATAATCATTTAACAGAAATACATCCATCATCTTCTGATGCTGCTGAAAAGAAATACTGCAATAACACAATAGAAGGCCTGGACACCATCCACTTCATTCTATCTACAATTAAAGAATGCTATTTTCAGAACCACATGTATCAACACAGTTTACAAGTCCTTATATTTAGTCCAGCCTACGTAACAAACATTGTACAAATGTTGAAAGGACTATCTTAAACAAACCCACGACTGGAAGTACTTCTCGCCCATCTCCCTTTCCTGTACTATTTTATTAATTCATGATAAAGTCTACAGAATAAAAATATCACGAAAAATGTTTCTGAACAGAACTACTTTAGAACTATCTTAGAAAAAAAGTATGGTCCACTAAGATCACAGTATTTTCTATCCCAGTATTACAGATATGCGTCTTGATTTTCTGGGTGTGGGTTCTTCCTCCGTCAGGCAGCTAGAGATTCAAAGGTGCGATTTTCAAGGGGCCCTGCAAATGGTAAGAATGTATATAAATTCTGTATCCAAGTCTGAGAATGCTGTCCTCTGTCTTACCACCTGAAGCTTGTAGCTTGTCAGGTAGCTTTTCCTTTGGTAAAGGTTGATAGAGGGAGAGGGCGGACCTTCAGAGCTTCAGGGAGGGGCCGGTAGGCTGCAGCACAGGTTTGACAATCAGCTGCAGGCTCGTGGCCCGAGAGAAAAATAACCCATTGGATCATGCAATACCAATTCAGTCTCCAAAGTCCTCCAAGACCCCCTGAGAATCTCTGCCCTTTGGCCCCCCATCATCCCCAGGAGGTTTGGGGCTCTCACCCGCTGTCAAGTTATCACACAGCCTCAGCGGGACCCTCAGAGCGTAAAGCAGCCCCAGCCCCGCCAGGAACCACAGCGTAGACCCCGAGTTCGCCAGCCCTGCCTTCAGCCGCTCTTTCCAGCCTAGCGGCGGGCCCAGGCCCAGGCCCAGGCCGGGAACAGATGCATGAGGACACCCCGCAGCCCGCGCGGCCTCCGCGAAGTAGTCCCCGTCCGCCATCTTGCGGCTCCGACAGGCTCCAGGACCTGGGAGGGGAGAAGGGCAGGAAACTCGGAGTTGGGAATCCTGGGATAGTGGCGGACTTGAAGTTGGCCTCTGTCAAGGCTGAGTTCAGGGGAACTGGACCGAGAGGTGGAAGGTGGCGGAGCGCGCCCCAAGACGATGGAGCTGCCTACTCCTCCGAGAGTGCGGGGAAGGGGCCCTAGCGGCACCTATTCTGCAGGAGACCGACTAAGAGGCGGCGCTGGAGGGGAGTGGTTTTGCTTTCACACGAGATTGAGGGTCACCTTTCACCCCGTTCCCGGGGTCGGAAAAGTCACCGGTGGTTCCCAGGGCTCAGCAGCTCTTAGCGCCTAGGACTCGGCTGCCATGGAAACCAACGGGACCCGGAAAACTTATAGGAGCAGTAACTGCTACTTGGGTAGAGGGAGCCGAGGCGCCAAGAACAGTGAGACGTGCCGCCGGGCCTCCCGTAGTTGAATGGGGAAATGATAGAAACTCAGAAGGATCCTCAGACTCCAAGCCCCGCGAAGGCAAAGCCAACTTCCCGGGGCACGGGCATTCCAGGCTGTCACCCCCGTGCGGAACTGACATGGCGCCCTCACTGCCGGTGCTTCCGGGCGGGTCCTTCCGACGTCCCCCGCGGTGATTCCATCACTCAGCTTCCTTCCCGGCCTGCCTCGCGCCGGCCGCCGGGCTGGGCCAGATCAGCCAAGATGGCCGACTTCGAGGATCGGGTGTCGGATGAGGAGAAGGTAAGGGGTCCGCCTCTCTCGCTTCCTCCTCCCCCGACGCGGCCCTGGGGTCCGAGCCGACAGCAGGGGGAAGCGTGGCCGTGTCCCCTGGAAAGAGAAGGCTCTTTTGCCGTGCCGGCACACTCTCTCCGCCCCTGGGACGGCTTCCTTCCCCCCTAAGGGGTTTTCCTTTGCCTCACGGTGGCCCCAGTTCCCCATTCCTCGACTCTTTTCCTTCCGGACCGAACACAGCCTAGCGGCCTTCCTCAAGAGGGGAGAGACTTTTTCCATTAAATTTTAACTGTAGACTCTATTCTGTAATGATAAGAGGAGGTGATGGTGATGTCACGACGTGTCATGCAGCAGTTTTTGCCGCCTTTGGCTGTTGGGGCTCACCCCATCCCCCCATTTTTAGATAGGATTGGGGTTAGTTTAGGACGAGTCACTTCCTGGTCAGGGTGGCCTCCTTAACTTCCCTTTTGCTCCCCCTTCCTCAGGAAATGATTTTGCTGTCACAACTCCTCGTTAGGTAGGGAGAGGTCCCCAAGTGTTGTCCACCTAACTATACATCCTATTCTTTTCAGTTACTAACGGTTGAACTGATTCGCCACAGTAAATCAATAAGCCTTGAGGCATTTGCTTCAGAATTTCACCAGCATTCTTTTTCCTGCTGATGCTGTTTTGTGTGCACATGCGATATTATCCGCCCCCCCCGTGACACTATCTCTGTGTCTTAATACCTTTAACTATATATAATGTTTTGAAAATAATTTTTGGCTTCCTGTTAACAAATCAAGAATAGCTAATAGATTTTTTTTTTTGACTCCAAAGAAGTTTATATAGTAAATAAACTTCACGTTAACACATTCAAGTCTGGGCAAGGCATCCAACTTTCTTTCAACCTACTGTAGTGTTTGATTTTGATTGTAGTTTGCTTTGTCAGAGTGGAATTTGGTTTGTATACTTAACAAATTTAAAAGTGCCTTAGATAAATAAGTTCTGGGTTAGGTGGAATAAGAAGCATACCTTTTTTGCTAAACAGTTTGTCCAAAAAAGAAAAAAATGTGTCAGGTTTTTCAGTAAGCACAGCGTTTTAGAGCCTATAGAAATTAGAATAGTCTCACCAGATAACCCCTTATGGGATAAGAATATGTCTTTTGTTTCCTACAGTGACTATTACAATGTATGCACCTTGGAGTGTTCTATAAGATCTGCCTGAATTCTTTTATAATAGTGTTTGGGGTGGTAGGGGACTTTTTGTTTTTTTTTAAATCCACTATCCATACAGAATGATTAGACATATACCTATGTGTGGCACACCTCTGAAATGCCGAAAAGAATATTTAGCACCTTTGCACCGAACAAGGTCCAGGATGCAGCTTTGGTGGCAGATCACTTAACGTGTGCAGTGTCCTGTGTTTAAACCTCAGCATCATGAAAAATTTAAAAGCCACCAAACAACACTTTAGTATTAAGTTTCCTCTTATTTGGAGATTGATTCTTATAAATGTTAAAGGCTTAGGAAACAACAACAAAAAAAGTTATATATCAGTGCTAGAAAAAAAAAACTATAACAAAATGTGTTTTGGATCAGTTAACATAATTAGAGTGAAAAATCTTTGTTGTTTTTTTATTTTTTTTGAGACAAGGTCTCATGTAGCCAAGACTGGTCTCAAAATCACTGTGTAGTAAAGAATGGCCTCCAACCTCCTGATCCACTCACATCTACTTCTCAAGTTCTGGTATTATAGGCACGTACCACCATACCTAGCTTTGTTGCTTAATTTTAATAATGATAAAACAGGCAAATCATAATTAGCTAATTCGGGGCTAGAGAGATAGCTCAGTACTTAAGAGCACTGACTGCTCTTTAGAGAACCCTGGTTCGACACCCAGAACCCACATGGTGTCTAATAACTGTTCATAACTCCAGTTCCAGGGGAATCCGATGCCCTCTCCTGACCTCCTTGGACATTGCACAACATGGTTGTACGTACATACATGCAAGCAATGCATTCATACACATAAAATATTTTAAAAAATAGTTACTCTGCCCAAAAGGTACTGGTGAATTTTATTCTTATTTTAATAAAGAGCTTTTTTGTTTGCTTGCTTTAGTTTTTTGAAACAGGATCTTGTTATATAGCCCTAGCTGGTCTGGAACTAGCTCTATAGACTGGACTGGCCTCCAATTTGTGACAATACACTTGTCTCTTCCTTCCATGTATGGTGTTTACAAAGAGACCTATGTCTTTCTTGGTGTGGATAATGAAGTATAATGATAAAGTAAAAATCCTTATGATTTGAGATCCCTGTAATTTTGTTAGGTTCCTTTTCCCAGAGCCAACAGATCATACCTCTCTGAGTCTATGAGCAAAAAGAAAGGGCTTTGAAAAAGTGCTTGTTTTTTCAGCTTCATACCCACTTTTCTTCCAGCCTTCGGATTTATTTGAAATTAATTCAAGAATTGAGAAAACCTACTAAGAAAGGCTGGGTCCGATTGTCCATACCTGTAATCCCAGCTTTTGGAGGTGGAAGCAGGAGGATCAGGAGTTCAAGATCATCCTTAGCAACATAGGGAGTTCAAGACCAGTCTGGATTGCATATATAATGAGACTCTGCCTCAAAAAAGGAATATCAAGAAAGTATTTTTCCAAGAAGACTTACTGATTTGAATGCCTGGGGAGTCATGAACAAGTAACCCTTAGTGAGAATTTTGCCCTATAAAATGTCTACAACTGGGCAGACGTGGTGGCACATGCCTTTAATCCCAACACTCGGGAGGAAGAGGCAGGTGGATCTCTGTGGGTTCAAGGCCAGCCTGGTCTACATAGTGAGTTCCAGGCCAGCTGGGGCTACAGGGGGAAACTGTCGCAAAAAGAAAAAAAAAAAAAATGTCTACAACCAAGGAACCATTAAAAATTAATTGTATTTATTTATTTGTTTGTTTACTTATTTTTGAGACAGGCCTTACTCTGTAGCCTAAGCTGGTATGGAGCTCACTATGTAGCCCAGGCTGACCTTAAACTCCTGGTGATCTCCTGTCTCAGCATCCCTAATGCTAGAGTTACGTCTTGAACCACCATGCTCATTGGTACAAACTAATTTTAAAAATTAAAAAGCAGAAGATATTTTGAGCCTTTCTTGTTGTGGTAGCCCAGGCATGTAATCCTAGTTACTTAAGAGGCTGAGGTAAGAGGATAGAAAATTCAAGGCCTGTCCAGGCTACAGAGCAAGTTGAAAGACAACTTGGAAAACTTAATGAGACCCTATGTCAAAAGTGAAAAAGACAAAAGGGACAGGGGCAGGCTGAATATATAGCTCAGTGGTCACGTGTTCATCTAGCCTCTGTGAGGCCCCTACATTCAAGCCCCAGTACAGCGAGATATTTTGAGCTAAATTTGTACTTTGATTTTTTCTTGAAGGAAGTCCAGAATTTGCATTTCTTCTTTCTCATTTGATTTGGGGTGGATTCTGTTGTTGTTTTAAGCATGTATGTTGTGATGTCAATATAATTTAGTATTCCTCTGTATCTGTTGTATTTTCTGAAACAGTAAGCCCTGAGGTAAGTTTGACATCTCTATTTTCCCTTCACGCATTTCTAGAAAAGCAAGTAGAATCATTTTCATAACTGGCTGCTAAAGTTTTTATCACTTTATAAAGAGGAAGTTGGGTTTTTCACTCCTGCATTGTTACCTGAAATGGTCAGAATGAGCTGTCTATATAAAGCAGGAAATGACAAGTGGAGGAACGTGCAGAAATAAATGCTTTTAGTCTTTTCCTGAGTTTCTGGAAATGACCTCTTCTTCGAGGTACTTCTCTTCAGTTGACTTAGTTCTACATGCTTAGCAAGACTAAGATACCCTAATTAGGAAGTTTGAAGTGGAAGATGAGTTTCTTGTTTAGGTTTTTTGCCTTAGCTGTTTCCTTTATTTCATGATTCAGCATAGGTTTTTATTTTGTTTTAACAAATGTGTACTGAATTCTAGGACTGAAAAAAATAATTAGTGTGGTTTTTTTCCCCTTCAACTTAATGACCAGAATGTATGTACACTTTTAAAAATACTGTAACTGAGAGGTGGGTCTGTATGCTTTTAGTTTAGTCATTTGTAAGACTTTGTTTTCTGTTTGTTTGTTTAGTTGGTTGGTGGAGTTTTGAAAGTCTTATTCTGGAACTCAGATTATCCTCACACTCTCTGAGGTCCTCCTATCTCAGCCTCCCTAGGGTGTTGGGATTACAGGCATGTGACCATCACACCCGGTTCAAGACAGATTTTTAAGCTTTTTGGTTTGGTTTGGTTTGATTTTATAGCATGAACTTACTCTGTAGCTCAGGCTGTCCTAGAATTCCATATGTAACCAAAGCTGGCCTTAAACTACTACTCGTCCTGCCTCAGCCTCCAGAATGCTGAGAATATAGGCATGAACCATCATGCCCAACTGTAAAGCAATTCTTTGAGAAACAGGTTTGTCAAACTACTTAGTAGAGTTATAAAAAGGTGTAAATAGGGCTGGCAAGATAGCTCAGTGAGTAAAAGCACTTGCCAGGCAAACCTGGTGACCTGAGTTCAAGCCCAAAACACATATAACAGTGGAAAGAAGTGACTCCACAGAATTGTCCTCTGACAAGCTGTGCACACGTGCACACACACCAAACTATGGCATGTGTACTCACCCATAAAATAATAATTTTTAAATATTTTGTAAATAGAAGCTAGAATTTGAGGGATCTGTTAGAGGTCGTGAAACTATTTACATACTTTTAGACTGGGCATCCTTAATTACATATACTTTATTGAAAAATTATTGTCTTTATAGATGATGTAAGGCCTAAATCTTATTTGCTGAGACTAGTTTCTAATTCATCAAGTAGCATTAATGTAATTTGTTACCTTCACTTCCTTTTAGTTAGCTCTGCTGAATAATACTATTCTCTTTTTGCTTCATTTTTTAAAATTTTATGTGTATGTGTGTGTTGTGTGCATGTATGCAAGCACACCTGTGTTGTGCAATGCCCAAAG